TATATATATAGAGCATGCATGACGAACGACATAACTACTTGACCTAAAGGCGTGGTGAATCAAAAATCCAGTAGAATCTGAAAATGTTTTAATGTACTGTAAACAATCTGAATATATAAACGTGAAATGAACATACCTTTACTTTTTAAAAAGATGGCAATAAAAGTGTAAAGCAAGTAAAGGTTAGATTTTATAACAAAGCCAAGTTTCCTGAAAACGCGAATAAACTGCACCGGTGACGGCAGCTTCCTAAGTAATGTGTCTTTTTATGTCTTGGTAAATCAATTTAGATTTGTTGGCATTCTGTTGGCCAACGACACAGCGTCGTTCACAGCTATCGACTCATCATCATTTTACCTGCTACATTTTTGCGTGTTCACTGTACATTTGAATAAAAATATACAATCACAGGCAAAATCAAAACCCTCTGAAAAATGAAGTTGCGATTTATGGTCGAAGAAGATCTCATGGGTGGATTATGACGAGGATGAATATGAACAATAACCACTTAATTCTTCACTTTTAATATTACTAACATAAACACATTTTTAAAGCAAGCCCAAGGGAATGTTCGTGACTGTTTTCATCTGATGCCCGCCGCCAATATTGCTTACATCCGTCCTTGATATGAAAATCGCACAGGAATCAAGTTGACGGGACAACATACTTTTGGAAATGTATCAAGCCAGCGTTCCATATTCCACGAGTTTTAACATCTTGATTGATAAGTTTAGTGTCACGTGATAATAACTTTGGTATGGAAAAAGGCCTCCACTAGTGATAAATATAGATGATTAATATTATTTCTTTAGAAAAACCTATTTTCACCATCGGTATTCAAACCCAGGACACTCAGATTTACAGATTCAAGGATCTTTTCATAAGAATTCATTGCGTATTACGCAAAAAAAAAAAAAAAAAAAAAAAAAAAAGAACGTGTTGAATATTAAGAGGGTCTTAGATTCCCAATAGGGACATTGCGTTTTCTTTGAAAGTGTATTACTTTAATGTAGATTAAAAAATCCTTCTTAACTATGTTGATGACATTTCGTGACGAACATTTAAATACCATTTGGTAACGCTTCGTTTTTTATCATGGTTAATGACATACGACTACAAAACTCGGTAATTTAAACGAACCCTTGAGAAAAGCATTATGGAGACCAAAGCTTAATCGGTAGACGCCGGTCATTTTATTGTAAACTTCAATTGTACTTTTTTTTTACATATTCCGCATCAAGCAAAATTCAACCTTCAATTCATCACATGTTTACAAGCAAACAATTCCAACAATACGCTACACAGACTTCGATCATTGAGTGGTAGTATTATATTATAACAGTAAATATTGCGTAACATGGCGTTCTTTACGTTATGGATGGATTTCCTACTGATTATTTTTATGACCCCTTTATTTTAAAGAGGAATGTGAATTCAAAGTTTCTTTTAGCCCATTACCTAGAGTGGTTAGTCTTGTTTTGGGCGTTTTCCCGTAAAAAAAGCATATCACAGACTGATAGTATCATCTGAAAAAAGAAAAATTATTACATTATAAGCACATGCTTGTCAATAAAATATAATTTAAGACGTTGTTAATTTAGCTCCTGAACAGACATTTTACTCCGTATTTCAGTACAAAAACATGTTTATCCAATTATCATTCTTGTACAATACAATTATGTTTGTCTTATTATTCAAATCTTTATTTCAGTCATTAAAGTCATACAAAATACAAAAGATCTAATAAACATATAATATGGTTTTCTTAGTCTGTTTGGGGTGTGTTTGTATTAACAGCCTATCTTAATATTTATAACCATGTGTTTGTTGGGTTTTTTTTTTTTTTTTTTTTTTTTTTTGCATAACTTATTGTTTGGTCAAAAAATCTAATCCCGTGTGCGAAAACATTCGATTACTAAATAAATAATTAGCATGATTTAGCTCAACAATTTTGCACACAATATGTTTAATGTATTTAACATTGCACTTCTGTTGCCAACAAACACTTCGAAACATTTTAAAAGTCCTGAGTGCTAATTCTTGGGGTCGCTGTAATCCAACAATAGTTATACGGTAGGCTAGGCCTACAGTATTGCTGTGGCCCCAAAATTATACTATCTAGATTATATTTGTATAATATTAGATTAAGCCGATCGTCAGTGTCACAGAGTGCTGTCTCTGAAAGTTTTGTATCGTAGAAAATAGAAACCTATGATAGGACTGGTGTTGGTTTGGCCTTCCTGCCTAACCAATAAATGCTCACGAGGAACCTGTAAATACTACTACTGCTGTCAGCAGCTGCAGTAGGCCTAAAAGCTTCACTATACAAATAATCTAATTAATATTATTGTTTTAAAGTGCAATATTCATGTTAATAATAATATACAGAGCGCCATGAAGAATATTTACTTTTTATATAAAAAAAAGCAACTTCCTTGGCTTTGGAGTAAACATATTTAATAGACAACAGACCTATTTTAGAATATGCTTTGCGTCCACGAATTGGCATGCGTCAATATATACTGAACAAGAAACTAGCAAATTGAGCGAAAGCGTGTGCGCTTTGCATTGCAGTGATGTTAGCTACGATATGAAGTTAAAACTACTGAATAATCATACTCTTGAAAACAGACGTATTGTTATATGTTTTCATTAATATAGTAAAAAGTGATATAAAAGTTACTAATAACATAAGCATATTATTGGAGCATGAATTTTCTTCAAGAAATTGTATGGGGTTAACGAACTAATACTCTGTAGGCCAGGCCTATTCTCAAAGACATTTGTAAGTAATTATGTTCTAATAGAACGCACGACTAACAGGGTAAAGCGCTGTCCAAACTATCAAATTTTCTTTTACAAAAAAAAAAATGTTTTGTTTCGTTTATTTATTCGACAAAAATACAACTTAAACAAAATGAATCACTATAGTGCTCTTTCAAGTCATTTTCCCCTCAAAACTCATATTATAGTCATGATGTGCCTCTATCTGCCCCTTTCTGACCAAAGGAAGCAATCCACAATTTTTCATTTTTTAAATGAAATTGTGTCGTAAATGAGACTGATTAAAGTAAGTCTTCCATATATAGTCCAGTAATACGTAACCCAATAACAAGTACCCCACGTAGTGCGTAGATTTTTTTTTTACAAAAAGAAGCAATTGACTAACTTCTCTTTGTCAGAAATCATGAGTTAATGCACTATTTTACTTTCTGACAAAACGAAGCTACATAATGTGTTTAAAGTACTACTTTTTAGCAGAAATCTAAGTATAATTTCAAGGAAGTTTTGTTTTTGTTTTTCTTACAAATAGGAGCACATTGGAAATAAGTCGTTTTTATACAACTTTTATGGGCTATCCTAGTATACCATGGTTTACAACATCGCATTTTATTGAGTTTAATTTTAATCTTTTTCCCTATTGTAAAATATGTTTTAACTTTCAGAAAATCATTGTTATTTACTATTTATTGTTATGATGTTGCAGTATGTAATAAAGTCAAGTGAAGTCCATATTTTCATATTTTGCAATTAAAAATTTTCTCACAAAAGGAAGTACTAATCAACTTTAGCCTCAAACTCAATAGATTTTCAATTTTTTAAAAAGTTTTAGTTGTAAAATACTCGATTACTACATACATGCAGTTTTAATTGTGTGGCAGCATTTTTCCCCTGGAATTATGGTAACGCGTTTCGTTAAATAACTTGAATTGTTAGTTACGTGGATTACTTCTTTCTGTCATTAAGGGTTAGAAGGTCAGAAGGTCAGGCAGGTCACATGTTTTTGTCAAATAAAATTATAGTTAGAACCATAATTCTATTTTCTCTATGTTAGAACGGAGCTTTATCAACCTGCATCTCAAATCTAGACCGCGGCAGCCAGATTATTATTTGGATTCCATCCCAAACTGTAGCCTATAGCAAAGCGTACTGAAATGATATTTTTAAAACAAATTCTTAATAATAAACCTTGATACTAAAATTGGGTTCATAGAAAATACTATGTGAAAATATATATTTATAGATGAGCATAATTAAATTAAACTGATAAACAATCAATTTATTCAAAAGTATGAAGTACATATCTCCAAAAAGAGTAAAGTAGGCCTATTGTGAGTGTGGCAAGCACCTCCCAATAGGTTTCCCGATCCCCCTTCAAACTGTCCCAAAAAACATTTGATATTTATTATGGTGGGTATGTTTGCATGTTTTTTCGTTTCTGTTATTATTTGCCTGTTCTATTTCTTTTTCTATGAATTTGATTCGATAAACAAAATGAACATGAACGTTCGATAAATGCTTACTCCGCTTCTCCTCTACTTCCCGGAGCAACCGCCTATCTGAGTTTCTTTTTGTTGTTGTTGTTGTTGTTTAAGTGATTTACTTACTATACTGGTAGCAATCTAAAAACATTTAGACCTAAATAAAAAAAATATTTTGTAAGCACCTTGAGTCCATGGAAAATGTTATTATTTTTATGATGTAGCAACAGTTATAATAATAATTCGTATTATTTTTAAAAATAAAATAATTGTAATTTTCAATAATACTTCTTGTTATTTATTATTAAATGATCTGGTTTTGTATCGATATGTCTAATTGACCTAGGCCTACATTTTAAAATAAATAAACCAATACATTGATGTTAAGTCAACATGAACCTATTGGTTTATTTATAAACCATACCATAATGATGCTGTATAGCCCTAGAAGTCGACGAAATGCAATTAGCAGACTAAATTAAAGATGGCAGTATGAAACGCCTGCGATTACACCTGTCACCAATAATTAAATAATTAAAAATTTACATATTCATATTCTATAAATAGCACACTTAAAGTCGATCGTCGTTGATAGGCCTATCTATTTTTGATGGGGCGATTTCGGTAGGGGGGGGGGAACCTAAAAATTGAAATACCAAGTTTATATTCTGCTTGTTTTGAGCTAATGAAGTTCAACATTAAGCCTCATTATTTGAATGACTGACTATTAAGTATGTTATTGACTTATTTAAAAATCAAACAATAATGTATTTCCTAGTTAATTAAAAGTTGCACAGGGGTTATTTCTAAATTGATGAGCCTTAATGTTTGATTTTAATTTTATGCCATAGACGGTGTAATCCACCCATAACGTGCAGGCCTACAAGCAACAAAAACGTTGTATAATTGAATTGCTTTGATTACACTAAAAAAACTCTTTTTTGTGACTATTACAATAAAAACAAGGAAATGGAGCAGAAGTAACCAATAATGCTGTCTCTTATACACATCTAATCATGAGTTAATGCACTATTTTACTTTCTGACAAAACGAAGCTACATAATGTGTTTAAAGTACTACTTTTTAGCAGAAATCTAAGTATAATTTCAAGGAAGTTTTGTTTTTGTTTTTCTTACAAATAGGAGCACATTGGAAATAAGTCGTTTTTATACAACTTTTATGGGCTATCCTAGTATACCATGGTTTACAACATCGCATTTTATTGAGTTTAATTTTAATCTTTTTCCCTATTGTAAAATATGTTTTAACTTTCAGAAAATCATTGTTATTTACTATTTATTGTTATGATGTTGCAGTATGTAATAAAGTCAAGTGAAGTCCATATTTTCATATTTTGCAATTAAAAATTTTCTCACAAAAGGAAGTACTAATCAACTTTAGCCTCAAACTCAATAGATTTTCAATTTTTTAAAAAGTTTTAGTTGTAAAATACTCGATTACTACATACATGCAGTTTTAATTGTGTGGCAGCATTTTTCCCCTGGAATTATGGTAACGCGTTTCGTTAAATAACTTGAATTGTTAGTTACGTGGATTACTTCTTTCTGTCATTAAGGGTTAGAAGGTCAGGGTCAGAAGGTCAGGCAGGTCACATGTTTTTGTCAAATAAAATTATAGTTAGAACGGAGCTTTATCGACCTGCATCTCAAAGCTAGACCGCGGCAGCCAGATTATTATTTGGATTCCATCCCAAACTGCAGCCTGTAGCAAAGCGTACTGAAATGATATTTTTAAAACAAATTCTTAATAATAAACCTTGATACTAAAATTGGGTTCATAGAAAATACTATGTGAAAATATATATTTATAGATGAGCATAATTAAATTAAACTGATAAACAATCAATTTATTCAAAAGTATGAAGTACATATCTCCAAAAAGAGTAAAGTAGGCCTATTGTGAGTGTGGCAAGCACCTCCCAATAGGTTTCCCGATCCCCCTTCAAACTGTCCCAAAAAACATTTGATATTTATTATGGTGGGTATGTTTGCATGTTTTTTCGTTTCTGTTATTATTTGCCTGTTCTATTTCTTTTTCTATGAATTTGATTCGATAAACAAAATGAACATGAACGTTCGATAAATGCTTACTCCGCTTCTCCTCTACTTCCCGGAGCAACCGCCTATCTGAGTTTCTTTCTTTTTTGTTGTTGTTGTTGTTGTTGTTTAAGTGATTTACTTACTATACTGGTAGCAATCTAAAAACATTTAGACCTAAATAAAAAAAAATATTTTGTAAGCACCTTGAGTCCATGGAAAATATTATTATTTTTATGATGTAGCAACAGTTATAATAATAATTCGTATTATTTTTAAAAATAAAATAATTGTAATTTTCAATAATACTTCTTGTTATTTATTATTAAATGATCTGGTTTTGTATCGATATGTCTAATTGACCTAGGCCTACATTTTAAAATAAATAAACCAATACATTGATGTTAAGTAAACATGAACCTATTGGTTTATTTATAAACCATACCATAATGATGCTGTATAGGCCTAGAAGTCGACGAAATGCAATTAGCAGACTAAATTAAAGATGGCAGTATGGAACGCCTGCGATTACACCTGTCACCAATAATTAAATAATTAAAAATTTACATATTCATATTCTATAAATAGCACACTTAAAGTCGATCGTCGTTGATTAGGCCTATCTATTTTTGATGGGGCGATTTTGGTAGGGGGGAAAAACCTAAAAATTGAAATACAAGTTTCCCACAGTTGAGTTCTTAAAATTCCGCAGCTATATTCTGCTTGTTTTGAGCTAATGAAGTTCAACATTAAGCCTCATTATTTGAATGACTGACTATTAAGTATGTTATTGACATGTTTGATTTTAATTTTATGCCATAGACGGTGTAATCCACCCATAACGTGCGGGCCTACAAGCAACAAAAACGTTGTATAATTGAATTGCTTTGATTACACTTAAATACTCTTTTTTGTGACTATTACAATAAAAACAAGGAAATGGAGCAGAAGTAACCAATAATGTGACCAACATCAACAAACGCTGACAATAAAACATCGGCCTGCGCAGTGTAGATGCTCTCAGCTTTGTGTTCCATGGGGAAACACTTTAGTTAGTGAACTATTTAGCTGCATTTGCTTATAACGTGCATTGTGTTCTGGTTTACACAAAGGTACAAGCGTTATAATAGAATTATTCAGAGTACAGTACGTTGAATTAATCTAGTTTGAATGTTTGATTTAATTTTATTACTTTGTTTTACTTTTATTATCTTAGTTCGTAAGTAAATAACATGTGATTGAATGTAATTATAAGGACACGTTAGTTTCTTCAATGCAGCTAACCGGGTCATTACATTTTGAGACAGACATAGCATTAAGTTGTACCGTCAATCCACCATTTCTGCACCAATCTTTGAATACACTCGTTATTAGAATTGTACATTAACACTAAGGCCGATGGTTAAGATTTTGCTCAGTCTTCTACAAGTTGGTAATTGAACTATAGAGTACAATACTATTAAATTATCTATGTATAAATTTCAGTAACTTAAAAGAATTATCAACCACAAAATGGTGATTTTTAAGATTTATTTCAGGTTGGTTTAGAAAGACTTTCAGTCAACTTACCATTTTACACCTACTCCATTATGTTGATCTGCAACACTATTCAGTGCATAAACCATGAACGCACATGGCCCCACATGAGACCTGATAGGCTTACGGAAGAAAGCCTCCCGCGCTGTGAATTAAAGGTTATGGTAACTGTTAGTACAAAATGTCGGTTAAACACATTCTGTGGTTATGATATAACTGTTGCCTAAAATCTGCCCTACTTCATTTGCTATATGACTACACATACATAAAAGCGCAAGTCAACAAAAGCCACGTATAATACAAATACGATACGCACTCAACGACTCGAAATTGAACACTTCCAAAGCCTTTTAACGTGTTTTGCGCTGCTTAATACAAGGTATTTGCAACTTAACGTGTCATTTATCATACGACTTATTAGCCGGCTAAAACTCTTATAAAAAAGAGTCGAATTTGCAAATCTATGTGGATCAGTATCAGACTGCAAGCTATGTAATCCTCTGAAATTCCTCCAAAATGTTGGAAATGCCAACAAGCACACTTATATAGATATCATTGTGAATCATTAGATTGCTTTAGTGTTTGTTGTAATGAGTCTGAAGTTGAAATGGAGAATGACCTTATTTTAAACAATTAATGAGTCGTTCACATTGTGTTTGCTGTTCCTAATACTTTCTACCAAAGGTGAAATATTAAATTATAGGCCCTATGTAGGCCCTATTAATAATTACGCTTTTCTCTTCAAATCTAAAATACGTAAAGCCTAGTTTAGGCCTAAATGAATAGGCCCTATGTATAAATATGGGATGCGAGCATAAATGAATTCTAGGAATGCAACGTCTCTTTTAAATCCTTCATAAATTAAATACAATATAAATGTTATTATTATAGGGCCTATTGAACTTTATTCAAAAACTTATTATTATTATTATTATTATTATTATTATTATTATTATTTATGATGATGCTCTTCATAATCATGCCTTTTCTATTTTACTTTCGTATTTATAGAAGACCTCTAATGTTATACTAAATTCACACTATTTTGCATGCGTGGAACAGCACTAGTTTTTACCTCACTGTGATTGTGACGCAACGACGCGCGCGCAACTGTTACCAACAATCAGCAGACGGCGTTGCGTCGTCCATCGCTCACAGGGAGCGAGTTGGATTCGTCGTACGACCGTCGTACGGCGCAGCGAGTGCCCGGCTTTAGACCTTCGGCCTTTTTAAAGTTTTTACATTATGGAGCTCAATTCGAAAAAAAAACCTAGTCCAAATGCAAATTCAAGAAATGTACATACACAAATATTATTAAGGTAATTTCTTAATTTTTATATATCTACAGTGTTTAAAACAATATTATTTTGGCGATGATTGCTCCCCATAGTTAGCATTACTTCTTTACCTCCCATTATCTTATTGACACCAAGAGTAAACAAAAGGCAATCGATATCATACGGATCTTCTTAATACTTTTCCGTTTTGTTATCTATCTATATCAATTAGCAGCCTGATCGCGAAGCGTCTTTCAAGACCATATGATTGACATCTTTGATCATCCGAACGCTTTAACTCTCTGAAACTCGATCTCATCTTGAATCACTTAGCGCACTAATAATTTCACTCGACGGACCTGATCGATTAATTAATTTAGTAATCGTTTTTTCGCCCCGAAAATTCTTACTGATTCCATTTGGGAAATGGATGCAACAAATGGTTCGTGCGCGCATATTCAAAGATGTCTCACGTGATCCCACCGTCTATGCCGTTAGGTAATGCGTCATTACAGGCCTAACCATGTTTCTGGTTACAGTATTGTACTATTATCCCAAAAACCAGAAAGATATGTGGGCCTGCAATAATGAGTTTCACAATGTAAATCTCCCAATGTAAATAGTACACGGCCTACATAACATAGCCTAATGGTTGTTTTTATTGATGGCATGTTCAAATAGGCTGCCAATGCAGTTCTATTTAGACTGCTGCAGACGAATCAGGTTGTTTATTTCTTCTCAAACAAAACAAATTACTATGTTCTCTTGAGCAAATAATAAGAAAGAGGATGATGACGACGACGACGACGACGACGACGATGATGATGATGATGATGATGATGATGATGATGATGATGATGATGATGATGATGATGAAGATGGAGAAGAGGATGATGTTGATGATGATTATTATTAATAATATTCTTACTTCCTTTTTTTATATAAGTAATTTTGAATTGTATTTTGGAATTGTAATTTGAATTGTATATCTTAATTGTAGGCCTAATTATGAATTGTGTATAGTAATTTTTTCTTTTTAATTCCCTTGTAAATATAACAATTTCAGTCTTTCCTTTGTTTGACTGCTGTTATATATTTTAATGTTTTATGATTGTGCAATAAATACCTTAATGAATTATGAGGTTGTTGGTGGTGATGATGTTACTTATGATGATGATGAAGAGGAGGAGGGGTGGAGATGATGATGAAAACGATGATAATGATAATGAGGATGATCATGATTATCATGACGATGCCTAAAATATCCACTGAGCAGAAAAAAATATTGACCAACGGACCGCATAGGCCTATGGCCCTTATACCAGTAGGCCGAAACTTTACAGCAAATCGTGAAATTAACTCATTTAGGCACAGTCTGGCATACC